GCTAATGAATTTCAGAAACTTTGCTGGAAGAGAGATTATTGAATTTTAGAAAAAAGGCGGGATAATTCAATGAAGGGTGGTGGCAGAACTGCAATCTTGATACTCTATTGCAATTCGTGCTATGATAACCTACGTAACAATTTTCATATGATAGTTATAATTTTTGCACATTCAAAGTACGCATGACATAACATAACGCACCCAGATTTGGAAACCATAATTGCTCAAATGAAGCAAAAATAAATGACAGACCATTGACTCATCTTGCAAATATATATATTCTAATTTTGTATCACATAGCATAATTACGCTCTGTAATTATGCCATATTGACCTAATTTGTATAGTCCATTTACGCGCATTGTTATAAGGTATTGATCGTGTTGATTTTGCCGGCCGGGAGGATGTCGGGAATGTAGTCCCAACATTGGCATGCAGGATCGTACTGTTGACGAACAGGTTCATACCCTACTTGCCACAACCAGTCCAGTCATTCATTAGAAGGCACTGATGGCACATCTAAAGCCATGTTGCCTTCTTTAGTTCTGTAAATCATGTCCGATTGAATTGTGATCTATGAATGAATATTCATTACTGTGGTGACTCTTAGAACCTGAGTCCTGAGTTGACGCGTTAGCAATCTAGGCAACTCATATCCAACCACAACACAATGCGGATACACGTTTGTGTGTACTGTCAGTGTGATTACGTAATTTGCGTTGCCGCGCATCCATATTTAAACTATTTTAGCTTTCCAAAAGTACGGCGCACAGCGCATTTTTTTACCGGCATAGTATGGCACACCGCGCAGGTCGTTAAAATGACAATATAAATTCCCACGCACCTGGCACATCTTCCTGACCATGGAGTCTGAAACCTCTGTACAATTCTTTCAAAGAAGTTTCAATTTTCCTCTGACTCCACAAGTAATGAATAATATCAATTTTAATGAAATAACAATGCAATGATGCATCAATAGACAATAATTGGTACGTACTGGTACATAAACACTATGCCTGACTTTGAATTTATTTAGGCCAGTATTTTGATCAAAAAAGTTAAGTATGAAAAATTGAAAGGCTGTGTTTAATAATTCAACAAAATTTCTTTCTCCTTCAAAATTAAATTAAGTTCAATGCCATATGACTCAATAGGCCTACCTTGAAAATTCAAACAGATGATAAAAAAATTAATTAAACTGATTACTGATAAGATGTATTACTTCATTAACAATAATAAAAGTCTAAAAGACAATGAATAAGCCTAAATGAAAATTGAAATAATGACATCTCCAGGCTCAGGCTGTAAAGTAGTGTGTTTCAGCTTGTGATATTGGTGTCTAACATGTCTTTGGAGCATCGTCATCAGCCACCTTGCCCTTACATCGGCGTTAATGGAGAATCTTCATACTTCATCAGCCACCTGCCACCTCGACCTAACAGTAACATCAGCGTCCAATGGGAACTGAAATTGCAATCTTCATCTTTCAACTGAGTTGAAATACCTGGTCATCTTCTAGTATGGAATATATCTACTTGGCGAGCATGGTGGAATTCTGACAAGGGAGGTACTTATGGCGCTCCGGGGGGAGGGGGGCGCTCCGGGGGGGAGGGATGTGTATAAGAGACAGGAGTTACCCCCAGTGAGTGGCATGTTACTC